TTCATATCTAATTATAAAATTCTAGACTAAAAAAATGGTTAAAATCGAGTAGATCTATAAACATATGAAAATTTTGAAAATGGACAGTCTAGATAATGTGTGCAAGATGCACTATTTCTGGGACTCAAAAATCTTTTTTTTTTATTTTTTTATATTCATATATCTCAATGTCAAGATGATCAATTAGAGGGTTTTACAACATTAAACAACCTTTTCCAATGGATTTTTGAGGTGCATCTTTAATTCTACATTTTAAGGTTGCAACCTTATATAAACTTTTTCCTTTTATTTTTGTAACTTGTATTCTTGTTTTAGAATATTTATCAATATTTAACAGTGAACTGTAAACTTATATATGTGGTATGGGGCTTTAGTCTTCCTACTGCATTTCTTGTGTCATGCATAGGAAAACGTGGTTTAGGCTTAAATGAGTGCATATTTCCATATCTTGCAAGAAACCATAAATCTCGTTTGCTCAAGTTCATGTGCATGTGAGTTGTTATTACTGTATATGAAATGATCCAAATTACCATGTTGGAAATTTTTTACTAGCCATCATAAAGAGGTTGGATTTAAACACATCCTCAAGGCAAATGCGGATGCCAATGTTTTGGATAATGGTGTGGTAGGATGCGCGAAGTTGAGAGCCTTTGGTGGAGGATGGTTACTGTTTTATGAGATGCGACCTTTTCATCTCTATGATCTTCTAGTCTTTGTAATTGTTTTGCATTTTTTGTCATGAAATTTGCTTTCCATAAAAGAAACTCATCCATCTACATAAGGGAGAATAAATAAGAGTATCACTTTTTGAAATTAACAACTATTATTTTTCCTCTAAATTTCTTAAAGTGTCATCATCTTTTCTATCTAAACGCTCATCCTTGAAATATCTTTGCTCAACAATATCTTTGATTTTTTATGTAAATTCAATGGCAAAGTTGCCAAAATTTCATATCCATCTCTCCAAGAAGTTTCATCCAAATCTTGAGCTTGAAAGATAGGGGTTGTATACTATGAGACCATTTATTTTTGGTACAAGGTCATAATCGCAACTATGAGGCCTGCTTTGCTTTATGGGACAAAATGTTAGGCAGTAAAAAAACAACATAACATAGGATGAGGGTAGCATAGATGAGAACGTTGAGAAGGATGAGTGACAAGACAAGAAAGGATAGAATTATTATTATTATTTTTTTTAGTAAGGTTAACTTTTGTATTGCTAAGAAAGGATAGAATTCCAAATGAACATATTTGAGGGAACTTATAGCTGGCTCCAATTGGCAACAAGATATGGGAAAGTACGCGAGCTGGCTATGTGCAATGCATACCCAATACAACATTAGTTAGGAGGTATGATTTGGTTCAAGTGCAAGGCTCTAAAAATGGTAAGGGAAGACCTAAAAGGACATGGATGGAAGTAGTGAGAAACGATATGGGGATTTGTGGTCTTACTAATGGTATGACATTGATAGAGCAGAATGGCTGAACATGATTTGTATAGATTTATAACTGAGATAAGGCTTTGATGATGATATTGATGATGGCACAATCACGGTTAACCGTTAAATGCGAAGTCTGATAGTTTTGGGCATGTTACAAAATGTACTTTTTTTTTTAAACTTTGAGCGCATTTATTAGAACACCTCCAACCACTTGTTTTCTCATCGAACCACTTGTTTTCTCATCCAAACCGCCTAGAAAGATTGTGACCTCCTTGTGCTAAAGGTAAATGGGCTTACTGTGTACTTTCCCTTAAAAAATAATATCTTGGAAAGCGAACAAAAAAGAAGATTAAATAAAAATTTGGAAAGGTCTTTTATGTGCTAATTATGTTTATCACAAGTAGGAATTATAATTAGTATATTCTAAGGAAATTATCATAAATATACCTTAATTTTCGTCTATTTAGAAAAAAACCCTCAACATTCATAAACCTCGCCCACAACCTTTTTCTTCAATTTTGGGCATTTTTTGACCAAAACAACCTTCACGGTAGTTGTATTACCGTGAAGCACAATTACGGTACTTTTAAGTACCGTAAAAACTAACCCATGTTATACGACATTTTAAGTACAGTAAAGCTAACCCATGTTATACTGCACTCGAAATGTTGTAAACCCACCCATGTTTTAAAGAATTTTAAGTATCGTAAAAACTAACCCATGTTATACGGCACTTGAAATGCTATAAACGCTTTTCTCTTTTTGTTTATATTTACATCTTTCATTTCTAATTCTTTTTGTGTTTATCTCTTTTTTCTCTCCCTAATTCTTTTTAATATTTATCTCTTCTTTCTCTCTCTACTTTTTTTTTCTCTCTTCTTTCTTTCTCTCTCTAAATATTTTCTCTCTCTTTCTCTCTCTAAATCTTTTCTCTCTCCAACTCTCATTCTCTCTCTAAATCTTTTCTCTCTCTAACTCTCTTTCTCTCTCCGAAGATATTTGTATAACAACCTGTGACCTTACCCTCCCCTATAAAAACTCCCTTCAATCCCATCTCCAATGAAAATTAGACGGAGTCAGATTTGTATTGCGTTGGAATCACGTTTGTTGAGTTGATGAAGTAAGTAGAGAGAGAAAGAGAGTTAGAGAGAGAAAGAAGAGAAAAAAAATTAGAGAGAGAAAGAAGAGATAAATATTAAAAAGAATTAGAGAGAAAAATAAGAGATAAACATAAAAAGAATTAGAGAGAAAGAAGAGATAAACATAGAAGAGATAAACATAAAAAGAATTAGAGAGATGAAATAGATAAACATAAACAGAAGGAGAAAAAGGTTTACGGGATTTCAAGGGCCGTATAACATGGGTTTGTTTTTACGGTACTTAAAATATTGTATAACCTAGGTGGGTTTACTGCATTTCGAGTGCAATATAACCAATGTTCGCAAAATCGAACCGGAACGGTTAACCAGTTTTGGAGCTGGGAGCAGTTTGAATCAGAACCGGGCTAACCGGGGTGGTTAACCGTTTTAACGGGTCAAGTAGTTTTTTTTTTTTAAAAAAAGGTAAAAAATGTCCAAAAAAAAGAATTTAAAAAAATAGAAAAAATTGATTAAGTGTATACTATTATATTACATACATTTATCTTACAAAAAAAATTGAAACAACTTTTTATATAAATTAATATTTGAATACTCTTAAGATATGCAAGACAATTTAGAATTTGACATTACTTCAATTAATGAAGTTACAAAGTCCAACTAACAATGCTAGGAGTAATGAGAGCGACCAGGGGGAATATGATATTGTTGTGTTTCAGTATCAGGATTTACGGGGTGAAAAATCTGAGTAAGGCTTGGTGGAGTTTGTAATGCCGCAGTTGTGCCCCGTCGTCAGTTAGGAATATTTCTTGTAGTACCCCCTTGGCCAAAGTCTCCTAGACTCGTCTAGCTTTCATGCTCTCCCCCACCTTGTTCTGTGTTACCCCCGTCCTGTTCTATGTTACCCGCACCTAGTTCTGTGTTACCCCCACCCTTTCTGTGTTATGGCCCTCAATATCTTCAATGTTGTCATCATCATGAATAACCAGGTTACAGTGACAGCTACGGCTTCGTCTCTCCCTTGTTGAGTAACTTCTATGCCTCGATGCCTGGACTTCCTCCCGAGCCAATCTCATTAACTCTTCCTGTTCATCAGGCAGCGCATCATGTTGTGCCCCTTCACATTCTTGGATGACTGGTTCTTGCCAATTGTTTTCCATTGTCCCATCTGTTTCATCATCCTGTGCCTCATCTTCATCCTGTGTATAATTGTCATCCAAGTCCATTGCCATGTCTCTTTCATTAGATGTTGCAACATTCACATTATCATCCATATCGGCAACTGCCCCACTAAGAAAATCTTGGTCTAGTAGTGGGGTCCTTAGTGACACCCACTAATCGGCGAGGTCCCTTCGAAAGATGTAATCAAGGTTGATCAGCGTGTATTCTGTGGGGGTCGTCCTTATATGTTTCTCTCTCAATTTCAAATTATAATGAACGTACACCAAGTTGTGCAACGTCTGTGTCTTTGACCTATTCCATTTCGGGGCGTGTATCCACTGAAATGTACTCCAGTTTCTCTCACAGCCCGAGGCAGCACAGGTTTGACTCAAAATTCTAACGACAATGTTTTGCAATTGCTTTGTTCGAATTCCGTGTATCGTCTACCATTGTGCTGACACAAACATAGAAACACTTAACAATAGAAAATAAATTGATTTAAATAAAACCACAAATAGTAGTGTATTAAACTTATTGCGAGTTTTAACTTAAAACTAACCTGGGTGCAATTTTGAAGCTGCTTTTTTGGCATTGTTGTATGCAAATTCCCCATTTTTTTCCGTGTACATGATATGCTAGAAATAACAAGATGCATATACAAGAAATTAATAGTACATATAAATGCAATTCATTATTGTAAATTGAAATTTTATTACATACACATTTTTATTAAGGTTTACCTGTTGCATACAGTCCATCTGAGTTTCAAGATCAAGTTCAAGCCTGTAGATGCAGTTTCTTACCCCCTCCATGATATCTGCATCATTTAAAGTGGCATTGGAGTACAAATTTTGTGGATTAAGAAAGAACCCTGCACATGGTTTGTTATATTATTAATTACGGTAACTTTTCTCGGAGTTGAGAAAGAGTCACGAATTGCGACAGTGAATCATAAATTACCTGCTGCATGGATATCCTGGTGCAGTTGGTCTCTCCACCTACGATCAATCCAATATCTCTTCATTCCATATGTTATTCTCAAATATAGCTTCCCCTGCACGTCTCATTGCATCGAACAGAAACCCCATTGCAGGTTTATCATCAGAGTCACTTAACCTCAACGCCCATTCTAAAGGTTTAGTTACAGAAACTACATGGTTACATCGAGCCCAAAACCTCTTATTGAGAAGGGTGGTTTCAACCTGCCTTCCAAGTTGACTCATTGCTGCCTTATCAGTCTGCCATTCATTAGAGCGTATCATTGACCTCAATCCTGCCTTGTTTACCAATATCGATTGTATCGTAAGGAACGCTGTAGCGAATCTAGTAGTGGACTCCCTGACAATCTCTCGCATGCAATGCTCCCTCATCAAAGCATGGAGATACGTGTGATTGTATATAAAGCTTGTAATCAACGTGCTCTTCAAAATACAATATTTAACCCTCTTAAGCTTCCCTATTTCCTTGAGCATCAAATTAATACAATGGGCAGCACAAGGAGTCCAATAAAGATTGGGTCTTCTCTCCATTAGCAACAAGCTTGCTTTTCTGTAATTCGCAGCATTATCAGTCACTACTTGGACCACATTTTCAGGCCCAACCTCATATACAATTTTTTCTAGGTGTGCGCATATCAGTTTCCCAGTATGTCTCTTTATCGATAAATCAATGCTAGAGTGGTAAACAATGCCCCTAGGGCAACCTATTAAAAAATTGACAAAATACCTATGGGACTTGTCCTTCCAACCGTCAGGCATGATGGTCACTCATGTATTTGGCCAACAGACCTTGAACTGTGCAATATGCTTATCAACATCATGAATAACAACTTTTAAACGTGGCCCTACAAGCTTTTTCGCAGTTGGACTTCTAACACGTGGCCCGGCCTCAGCTATAGAAGCTACCATCTGTGGGTAGAAGTCTGAGCTTGCAGAATTAAATGGAATTGCATTAGCATACCAGAACATGCTAATCATCTTTCTCGCTTTTTCTATTAATACACCTGCTGACGAAAATTTTAATTTTTTTTTATGATATTGTGACTTGTGGGGATCAAGTCTAGAGGCTTCGCGAGTCATTGATGGCACATCTATGGGTTCATGTCGTTGAGTAGTAGATGGCCGACTATAAGAGGATGGGCGACTAGAGAAACTACATCTCAATCTACTAGATGTGGATCTAAACAATGAAGGCCCACATCCTCCCCTACCCGGTACTATATGTTCTTGACGTTGACGAATGCACCATCCCTTCTCCCATACATCTCTTGAATTTCCATTTATCTATAATTAAGCTCTTGAATACTGGCAATCCTAGCTCATTCCATTTGCGCCTCAAATTCTGCCTCTTGGTCATCCTCCTCATCTATTAGACTTTCGTACCGCCTCCCTATCTCCTCTGCATCCCTGTCTCTCTGCACTTTTTTTCTTTTTCCTTCTGTAATGATTTTATCATTTGTTGTTTTACTTCTGGTGGCACTTCTTTACAACCGGTAACATTACCCTTTACCCAAGCAAGATGTTCTTTTAGGGCATAAATACCACCACACATTTTCTTGTTACAAAAATTACATCAAGTTCTTCCTTTGTCATTCACTTTTGTACCATACTGTCATGTCACATCTCCCCTTCGCATCTTATTATTTTCTTGTAAATTTTCTTGAACATAAAAGTTCATTAAAAAAATATTTATTTGGGAAATCACTCCACCAAGGGGACCTTGTAAGCATGGATATTTAAGCCCTACTTTCTCATGAAAATGAACAACTTACAATACCATCCAATAGAAAAAAAAAAAATATAATTAAGATGACCATGAATCACCATATCATTCAATTAATATTTCTCGATAAAAAACATGCTTGTTTGCCTCTAGCCATGAAAGTTGAAAAAGCCATGCATGTGGGGAATGCATTAAGAAATGTGGTGCTTTTAAACCGAGATTGAAGTGATTTTCCTAGTTATTGGAGAAACACGGGGTAATACTAGGAAATATGTTTTCTAGAGGGCTAAGGTCAAGTAAATCCTTCAATGGGGAATATGAACAAAAATAAGTGCCCAAACCTTTCCCAAAGCACATGGTACACCATGAAATTGAATAAGAGCAGCAACATATTAAACAAGAAGTAATCCATATAAAGATACCTCAATTCTTGATGAGCAGTTTGGAGTTCATGTGATAGTGACCCTTGCCATGAATATATATTCAAGGTAAAAAGTATTTCTCAAAAAGGTTCTAAATGGATGCATCAGAAGGGAAAAATACATCCGCTTCCCAAAAGTGGAATTTAATACACTCATTGCTATAAGTTTAAACTATAAAGCATGCATTGCTCCAATGAGTTCTACAAGCTAGTACAATAGATCAATTATGTATGTTGATCAAAATTGAAGATCTGATAAGATATGTTGCCAAAACTGAAGCCTCTATACAAATGGGCTTTAAACACAATTAAAGTTGAACAACTAAATATATCCATTTTTCATAACATCGCTGCATACATAGAGATATAAAATCCTAATTGCTGCATACATAAAGATATAAAATCTTAAGACTTTATGACACAATTGCATAATGAAGTATAGCCAACAGGTAGTCCGATACTTAAAGAATACTTGGAATACTGTGTGTTTTTGAATCAAAATGACTCCACAAAATCAAATCATTCATAAAAAATGTCTCCCTAAAATTTAAAGAACACTTGGAATACAATTTTTTTTTTATTGAATATATGTATTTATATATTCTCATATTCATCACAAAATACATATTTATAAATATATATATATATTATATAACATTAAAAACAAAAAAACCCTTAAATTCCTAAAATCAAGCTCCAAATTTCTTTTTTGTTGTTAAAAAGTCGTTCTTTTATTTATTGCAATAAATAATACTAGTTAACTATTGTTTGAAAAATCCTAAAAAAGCTGCAAAATTAAGAACATTTTTTTAAAAAATTGGGTTCGGGCTTACCTTGTCTGCTTCAATCTCAAAATCGAGCCCCAAATATCTCCATTTCAATGAAATCAGGAGTCTTGAAATGTATGTATCTCTATGATCATTATAATCCCCAACTTTTTATCGAAAAAAATTGAAAAACCAGGCCTAAATCAAATGAATGGCGGATTTTTTATAAAAAATTGAAGAACACCAAAAAACTCACCAAAAATTCACCAAAATCGATCTAATCTTGGAGTTTTTTATTCAATATTGATGGATTTATAGAAGATTTGAAGGTATAGTACAATAATTGAGCCTAAAAAACAAAAAAAGGCAGGGAAAAGCATAAAAAGCTGCAAAAAATGGCAGATCACGGGTTCTGCCCAAATAACGGGCACTGTTACAAATAACAGCTGTTATTTTGTTATGTAGCCCGATATAAACGCCAAACCGGTTCAAGGCCAAACCGACCAATTTTTTAGCCGATTTTTTCGGGACGATGCATTTTTTTTCTAGTACACTAAAATCGAACCTAACTGGAATTGCCATCCTACTTGTAGCGAGCTAACCGGCCGGTTCCAGTTTCGACCGGCCGGTTTTTCGAACACTGAGTATAACATGGGTTAATTTTTATGGTGCTTAAAATGCTGTATAACATGGGTAAGGTTTTACGGTACTTAAAGTACCGTAATTGTGCTTGATGGTAATACGACTGCCATGAAGGTTATTTTCGTAAAAAAACGCCCAATATTGAACAAAAAGGGTGTGGGCGAAGTTTATGAAAGTTGAGGGTTTTTTTCTAAATAGACAAAAATTAAGGTATATTTGTGATAATATCCCTAAATTATATAATAAAAAGAAGGAATTAGAAAATTCAGGTAAAAATTTTAAAAGCCTTAAAAATTTATATTGAATGAATTTAGAGAAATTTACGTATAGACCGTATTGGGGGGTCAATTACAAAATGAAAACATGTTTGTTCCAAATTATGGGCGGCACCCCTCCTCTCCCCGACATTTTTTTTCTTAAGTTACACCTTTTCCGGTAAACTGAACGGGTGGTTTTTTTTAATTTGAATGAAAAACAGTTGTCTGGTATTCGAAACATCTGACAACCATCTCTATCTTCTCCAGTTCAGCAATATTCTTTCTCCTTATCTCTAATTGCTGGCAGGAGCCTGAAGTTGAAGCAGTTGTGCAAGGTCGAAAGAAGAGAAAAAATGACGTAAAAAGATAAGCTGTTCAAGGGAGAGAAAAGATGATGCAGAAAGATTAGCTGTTCAAGGGCCAATGCATAAAGAAAACTCTTCCTGTTAATCGCCATGGCAAAGCCCCATCCACTCTCAAAGGTAGTCCCTGCTTAATCATCTTTTCCCTCCAATTTACTTTTTCCTTTTCAGGTTGCGGTTTATTAATGGTTTTCCCATTGTTGCAAGAAAAAGATTTAATAGCCTTCCAATATCACGAAAGATATAGAGACGAACAGAGTATTCTCTTTATCTCTTAATTTTTCTTTTTTCAACATATTGGCTTCCATTTTTTAGGATATTTTCATTTTCCCCGGTGACATATTTGGTTCAATTTGCTCGTCCAATCGCCAAATTTCGGAGTTTAGAGATAGAGAGAAAGAATACTGTTGAATTGGAGAAGATAGAGAAGATAGAGATGGCTGTTCGGTATTTCAAACACAGGACAACTGTTTTTCGTTCAAACTAAAAAACCCACGTGTACGGTGTTCCATTTATCGAATGGGGGGGTAACTTGGGAAAAAAAAACCGCCGGGGAAGGGGGGGGTCTGCCCCCTGTAATTGGGAGAAACATGTTCCCATTTTGTAATTGACCCCTCCAATATGGTTCGTACGTAAATTTCTTATGAATTTGAAATAAAAAATGAATATTTTAGTTCTCAATTAAATATTTTAAAAATTATTTTACTCTGCAGCTCGTGCAATACATGTTCCATTTGTAATGGTTTAAAATTTTAAATTGTGAATTTTCTGGGCTCGTCATAATACCCTTGTATTTTCTAGTAACAGTTATGAATGTAGTAACTTGGGACCTTTTATAATTGGAAACAAAATACGAATGTAAAAGTCCCTTTATTTTGTGTCAATTTTGTTGATCTTCTGTCGTAGTAATCAAGGTACTTGTGATGTTCGTACTTGTTGAAATCCAAAAGAAATCTGAAATTCTAGATTATATGATATTTAGTTGTTGCTTTTTCTTTCATTATGTGTACTTGAAATTGCTATAAAACATGATCTGGACCTTGTGATACCTGCAGTACATAGTTGTTGGGATCATGAGCGAGAATGGTAGCGGGATCGGGATCGGGAGCGTGGATTGTGGAATGCTAGAAGATCCTTAGGGTTGGGAATGCTATCCATACAATGCATATGTTAGGAATCGAGATCCCAAATGTTTATATCGAATTCTAACCTTTTGAGGATCTTGATCCCGACTTTTGGGGATCTTGCTATCAACATTAAAGTGTATGATAATTTAGGATTATGTACACTCTTTAAAGTAGGGATCTCATTATTTATAGCAAGCTAGCAATGCAACTATATTCAAAATATAGTTGTACTACTAGCTGGCTATAAACAAAAAAAAATCATTAGTTTGGTTGTTGTCTTGGTTTTTAAGGTTGGGACCCAGATCCATAACAATAGCGGAATCAAGATCCCAACAGTGGGATTGAGATCCCAAAATTTAAAAATCGAGATCCTTGAGAGATCCTTTTTGGGAGCTACAGAATCGAGATCCTAGAAGGGATCTCCTACCAAAGTAGGAGGTCCCGGTAACTATGATGCAGTATGATCTTCCAAAGCAAGAGGCAGTTATCCAATTTGTTATTGGGGCCATTCAGGCAGAAGCTTTCAATCTGAAGACTCTCTATTTGATTTGCTCCTACACCATTGGTAAACATAATTTTGCTTTTTGCTTCATGTTAAATGTGCCACTGAAATGATTTAGAAAATTGTAAAATTTGACATTAATATGTTTAATCATTCAGGCTCGCAATTGCTTATGTTGATTCTTATTTACCACAATGCTGATAGTTATCTTTTGCCAATTGTAAACACAAAGTGTGAGGTAGGTTGTGGACTTCTCGAGACTCAAAGATTACCCGCACTAACAATTTTCTCTATTGAATTTGTTACTTATATTGGGATTTCATAGTTTCTAACAATTCACATTTGTTATGAACCCTTGTGCTTAGTTCACTACTTCATTGACATGCATTTCTATGTGTCTCTCTTTTGTGTGTGTGCCCGTCAATGAGTAAATAACTTGACTTGGAAGAGCTCCTATGCTTTGGTGTTGATGGGACACCTTAGTGTTGTTATACAAGGCAAAGCAAGCCACCTGCCTGTTAGCATGGTGAGCTGATGTTATTACATCAGTGAACAATCCACCTCGTACTACTAACATGAGGGAATCAAAGTCATCTGGTTGCTGACCTATCGATAAGTCCTTTAACAAAACGATGCTCTTTATTATTATATATGTTTACACAATGCATATTGGAAATATTTGGTTATTGATGATATTGATTAGTTGTTCTACCAAAGTTTGATAATCTCAATCTTATATATTCAAAAAAATTCGATACACGTGAGGATGCCTACTTATATTTTTGTGATATTATTGTTATGTTTTGCATATTGTTACTTCATAAGTTAGAGATCTATAAGTTACTTCATAAGTCAGAGATCCAGAAACATGTAAGCTAGAGTTCCAGAAACATGGTAAAGAGCATAGATACTAGAATCTCTCCTCGGACCCCACGATTCCGGTTCCAAAACCCGTTTCCGCATTTCCGTTAAGGAAACTCCATGGAAACCATTTTTTTGAACCTAGGAAGCTTGATTCCTTTATTTTGGAATGTCGATTCCGTACCTAGGTGGGAATCTTTTTTTGTAACATAGGAAACTCGATTCTTTAATTTCGATATCTCGATTCTTGACATATGTGAAAGCCTATTTTCAGAACCAAGGAAACTAGATTCCTTAATTTCGGAATCTTGGTTCAACACTTCTTTTAAAAATATTTTTCGGAACCAAGGAAGCTCGATTATTAGTTTCAGAATCTCGATTCCTTAATTTCGGAATCTCGATCCAACAGATCTAGAGAAACTTGAACCCCCTAATTGTGGATAGGCGCTCCCAAATTGATTGAATCTGGCTTCCAATGAGGTTTAAATATTGATTCCATGTTAAATGATACACGATTCTACAAGTAAAGGAACTCATTTCGTCAGGGTTTTGAATCATCTACACTGTATAAAACATTGGTTTCTTGTAAATAATAACCACAAAAGTAATGTTTATTTTCTAGTGGATATCATGCTTTAAGGTCCCAAACGATAGCATTAGGCGGCATGTGTATTAGAAGGGGGTATTATTATTTATGAGGCATGTATTTTAGAAGGAATTTAATGAGATTGTGTTGCTTTTTTAATTATCTTTATTATGTTTCTTATATTTGCATTAATGTAAACTGTTATAGTTTCTTTACCTTGTTAATAGTTATGTGAATTGCTTAAGTGAGCTTGCACCATGTCTCCCCTTGCAACATTGCTTAGTATTGTACTACGGATTGCAAAATGGTTATTACTAATTTTATTTTTACTTTTTTTTGTTTGATTTAAATGCCTATAGAATAATGTTCCTTATATTTGCGGTGATGTAAATTGCCTTGGTTTCTTAATCTTGCTCATATGTTATGTAAAATGCCCAGAGAATATGTTTCTTATATTGGCGGTGATGTAAACTGCCTTGGTGTCTTAATCTTGCTCATATGTTATGTTAAAAGACTGCTTAAATGATCGTACACCATAGATAGCCTCGCAACATTGCTTAATATTGAAATACTGAATGTAAAGTGGTTATTAATAGTGCTAATTTTATTTATTCGCCTCTAATTTAAATTCCTATAAACTATTGAAATCATTTAATAACATATAAAGCAACACACATAGATTGATAATTGAAAGCTTAGAAATTATATATTGTGCAATTAAAAAAAAGTAACAATATGTCATAATAGAGAGAGAGAGAGAGAGAGAGAGAGAGGCAGGGGAGGGGAAGGAGGGGGGCTACAACTTGTTCCTTCCTCCACTCTTTCGAGTTGCTGCGAGGAGCTTTTGTGTAATGACAGAAGATGTTGGAGGAACTCGAATTGTAGCAGACGATGGAGACACTCTTGGGGTGGAAGATGATGGATGCACTCTTGGGGCGGTGCTTGGTGAAGGCTGGTTGAGGACGTGCTCGATGGTACCTTTAGTTGCCAATACATCGGGGTGGCTTGGAGTACTAGGTGGCTCTCTTGAAGTACCGGATGGAGTGACAGATCCCAAAGGCAATGTAGACACAACTCTGTCATCATCAACATTGAGATGTGCATCCAACGATTCGAGAGCCTCTATGTCATCCTTGAGGTGATCGTCTTCCGGATGAGAGTTCCAATTCTTATATTTCTCTTTGTAGTCCGCCCGCAATCTACTCAATAGTCTGTCATTGTAATGTATATACACCAATGATTCACAACTTTCCACATTCAACCGATTTCGTTTAACATTATGTATGTAGCTATACGTGTTCCAACATCTCTCTGCACAAGAGGAATTAACAGTTTGTGACAACACCTTCATCGCAATTGCATGCAATTCTGGAGTACCACCACCATACATGACCCTCCATGACACTGCTTCCATAGAACCCCTATCAACAATAGATGGAGAGAGGGCGAAAACCCCTCTATTCCCAAGAAAATCACAAATTTGTTGCAACACCTTCCTTCGTTCCATATCATCTATAGTCAGTACATCAAGGGCTATGTGGTAACATGCAGAAACTTCTGGGTCCTGGTGGGGCTTCATCCTCCTTTCACCCCAGGTGCTAGTGTAGCCAACCACTCTCGTGAATTATTCTTAGGACTGAGAAGGAATGCCAAACAATGCAATGATCCATGACTAAAGCCTTAATCCTTTGGAATAACACATGCTCATCATATAGGGCCACCGCAATTCCCCCAACACAGTATCCATGCGCTCGTATGCATCTCCCACGACAGCTCTATCGCTATCAGTAAACTCTATTGTCTTCCATATTGGCCTTGTAAAAGACAATATCTTGTACAAGACAATATCAATTTATTCATCTTCCAAAATTCGTCGTCCATGATAGTATCGTGGACGATACCATGTTGATTATCTAATGTGCCTCGTTTTAAACCTTCCCACTCACTACCCAACACTAAAGACGTCAAGGCAACTCTCACTTCTATCAATCTCCTCAAAATGATATAGTGATACCCAAACCTCATCTTCTTAGCCTTAAGAAGTTCTAAGTTAGAATAGGTCCGAAAAATGTACAAGCATCATGTATGATTACAGTGTTTGTGAACGAAAGTAAAAGATGGAGTTTTTTTATTTTTGTCAACAGTATCCTTCATTAGCAGACTCAAAGTATGAGCCAAGCAACCCGACCAAAAAATGTGGGAATGACGGCGTTGAATTATAGCACCTGCACCTTTTCAATTGGCCGCATTGTCAGTACGGCTTGAACCACATTATACGGTCCAATCGACTCTATGGCTTTCAAAAGGATATCAGTAATCACTTGACTAGTCTTTTCAACTGATGAACTATCAATGCTATTAATTAATATGGCCTTGCCAGCTTATACGTCCTTGACATTAATCAAAGACTCGTTCTTAATATTACTCCAACCATCAAACATAATGGATACACCATAACTTCCCCAATCACTCCTAACTGCACTCAAAGCTTGATTGATCCTACTTCTCTCTTTGTCAAGCAATGTTGTTCGGATCCTTTCGTACTTAGGCGCCACATAGCCTTTTGGGCTGTTATTAACAACGTAAATCACTTCATGGAAACTTGGTTCCTACGTAACATTGAAAGGGATGCCGTGGGCATAAAAGAAACGAGCCACCGCAACGTCCACATCATCTCTTGCCTGAACATTACATAAATGTGGGATCTTGGTCTTGGTATTACCCTTTTTTTTTTTATCAAGACTTTCGGTTTGCACTAATGATGGAAACAACGATTTATGCACCGAACATCCAACATCATTTTTATTTTGGCCTTTTCTCCTATATAATCTTTGGGCTTCATCCTCCTCAAACTTTAATGCCTCTCACTCTTCCTTAGATAATTTTGGGCAACTTGATATCCCTTTAGACCCTTTAACCAATGATGGTTACAATCAGGGTTTAAAACTCGACGAGTCGCTGGTTCGACTCAGGAATCGGCACCCCTGTGCCGGTTCCAGCAAAGCACGCAGAACCACCCGTGTCTAGAGAGAACCGGGCGATTCTGAATAGTGAATCGCCTGAGTCATTGTACAAACACGAGTGAACAGTAAAAAACTTTGTGAATCATCAAAATTTGGCTTTTTTTTATCATTTTTTTGCATTTTCAGTCTTTGAATCGAATATTTCAACTTTTATCTTTAACTTTTCAGCCTTATTGTTTGATATATTGGAGCTTTAATTTCGATCACAAATCATCGGATTTGTGAAGAACTAAGGTTTCCGCTATTTCTTAAATTTCAACCAAAATAGGGCATCATTTTTTATAAAATCATAAGGTTATTAATCTAAAGAGTGTTATTAAGAAGAAATTATTCCTACTTTTCGATTATTTTGGTCGATTACAAGTCAGATTTTGGTTTGAAGCCACGGTTGCAAAAAAACAGGTAAGAACTTCGGTTTTCTGCCTTTTAATCGATTGTATTCAAGTTTTAGCAAATAATTTGTTCATAGTATAGGGGTTTGATTCCTTATAATATTATTTATCATAAAATGTATCCAATTAGATCTATTTTGTTTGATTTGAGGTGGATTTTTGAGTTCGAATCATTGTTGTCAGGTTGGGTTTGCGTTTGTTTTTTTTTTCTTTTTTTTTTCGGTCATTCATTGGATTACAGAAAAAATAGGTCACAATTTTTTATGAAATCAAAGGGAAATTAGTCGTGATTGTGTTATTCATCAGAAATTGTACACCTTGTTGATTTTGGTTGATTATAAGTGAAGTTTGGATTTGAAAAGTCGGTTTCTGAAAAACATGCATTTTCTGCCATTTAATTGATTTTGATCAGTTTTTGTAACAGTTTGTGTTTGTATCATGGGGTTTTAGTTCTTTATGATGTTATTCGGAAATATTTGTATCCTATTTTCCATTTTTTGGTCAATTTGTAGTGGATAGAGTCATGGTTTTGTGAAGAACAGTTAGGGTTCTTTTTTTGTTTATTTTTTTTTTATGTGAAACTACAAATATGAGACGAATTGAAGCACTATTATGAAGTATTTCAGAGGGGTTTTGAAGGTAATATTGTTCTTCAATTGATTTTGGGTGTAATTTGTTGGATTAAGCGATTTTTATTGCTCGATTTCTTAAGAAATGGAGTTGTGGCTGCGTTTCTCAGAAAAATGAAATTTTGATGATCGATTTTTCAAAACAATCGTGATTTTCTGAAAACTTGTGAAAATCGTGACTCGGTTTTGATTATCATGAGGAATTACATTGTATTTTTTATTTTTATTGTTAAATTTTTAATGCAAAAAATTGTATGTTAATACATAAAATGTATGCATACTATTGATAAATATTTTATCATTATATTTTCTTGAGTGACTATATCATTTTAAATATTATGTGGCATGTATGTATATTCTTGGTATTAAATGTATGAATATCATTGTAAAAAAATTGTGGCATATATGATAATCATATTATCATGCATTTTTCAATTTTATTGTTAAATTTTTAATGGAAAAAAATATATGTTGATACATAAAATGTATGTAAATTCTTGATAATTGAGTATTAGGCATGTTTGGAGCTTGCATTTTTAATTATATTATCTTGCATTTTGGTAATTGTGCTCATTTTAATCTTGGGATTGTGCCCACATATTATGATATACTTGCTAGAAACTAATTTTAAAAGAGGTTTTGTAAGTGGGCTAGGCGGTGCTATTATGATAACCAGAAATTAAATTAACTTATATTTTTCAATGTTATTATTAAAATTTTAATACAAAAAATGGATGCTGCTATATAAAATGCAGGTATATTCTTGATACATATTTTATAATTATATTATCTTGAATGACTATATCATTGTAAATATTATTTGTGGCATTGTGAATGACTATATCATTGTAAATATTTTTTGTGCCAAATGTACGTGTAGTGGCATTATGGATGACTCTATTATTGTAATTTTTTTTCTTAATTCTAAGTGTGACTTATACAGACTCTTTTTATCTATAATGTTGCATAAATATTTGTGACGAGTCCATATGTATTGGCATTGTGAATTGCTATACCATTGTAAATATTTTTTTTATTGATACTATATCATTGTAAATTTTTTGTTCTATATGTAGTGGCTGATAGAGACTATTTTTATCTATAATGTTGCATAAATAAATTAATTTTGCCAGTAGGAACTAAAATATTTTTGCTAGTAGAAGTATTTTGCATTAATAACAAAGATAACTTTATGAAATACCCCTACACATTATCACTACACATGGTGAGTATTTTTCATGTTGAATTGTCGGGTTAATTTTTAACCATTTACATATTAAAACAGTTAAACCATGGCAAGATCCAGGGAAGACCCTGGATGGCAACATGGGGTGAGACTTGATCCCAACAAAAAAGACAGAATTATTTGTAATTACTGCCAAAAAGTGATTAGTAGTGGGGTGCATAGGTTCAAGCAACACTTGGCAGGGGTTAAGGGAGATGTTTCGGCGTGCAATAGTGTCCTTAGTAATGTAAGAAAGCAGATGGCAGCCATTCTCAAGGCTACCAAAGGTAAAAAAATTTCAAAACAAAGGATAGATGAGGAGATAGTTGGTTTATATACGCCTTCGATCGGGAATGATCCAGAAGAGCAATATAATAATGACTTGGAGATGGCCACAATAATGAGTTTACAAGAAACGTACCAGAGGGAAAGCGGGTTTAGAATGCCTGGTGGTTATGGCATGGGCATGCATAGTGGGCCTAGCTGGAGCATGCATGGAGGGCCCAGCTGGAGCATACATGACGGGCTCAGCTGGAGCATGCATGGAGGGCCCAGCTAGAGCATGTATGGCGAGCCCAACTCGAATATGTATGAGGGGTTGGTGGCAATATGTATCCAAAGGAACCGGACGTTGAAGAAATTGTTCCTGGCTTATCTAGGAGTGTCAGTATTGTAAGTTCTGATCGTATAGACCGATTTCTTTCAAAGCCTAAGTCACAACAGATGACCCTCAAAGGCATGGTGAAAAGTACGAGGAATATGTTGAGCAGATATGTTGGTAAATGGTTCTACGATAAAAGGGTATCTTTTGATGTAACCTATAGCCCATATTTCTCATCTATGGTCAACGCAATCTAGAGAGCCGGGTC